ATTATAAAACTATTGGCTGATGGCTAGGGCTTCTTACTGGCTTAATTATTAACCCATAACTACTAATCTACACATTTCTTTTTTTTTTAATTTATTTATTATGTATAGTGTCCTGTCTGCATGTATGCCTGCATGCCAGAAGAGGGCACCAGATCTCGTTATAGATGGTTGTGAGCCACCATGTGGTGGCTGGGAATTGAACTCAGGACCTCTGGAAGAGCAGCCAGTGCTCTTAACCTCTGAGCCATCTCTTCAACCCCCTAATAATCTACGTATTTCTACATGGCCTTATCTTGCCAGAGAATGCCTGGCGTCCTATCTTTCCAGTCTCTACATGGTGGTGTCTCCTTGAGGCCCTCTCTGCCTACCTTTCCTAGAATTCTTCTCATCTCCTAGTCCTGCCTATCTTCCTGCCTCTATTGGCCAAATAGTGTTTTATTCATCAGCCAATAAGAGAAACATATATACAGAAGGACCTCCCTCATCAATAATCTAGTGATGAGATGGTCTTTAAAAGTTTTTGGGTTTTTTCTTTTTCGAGACAGGGTCTCATTATGTACCTCTGGTTGGTCTAGAACTCACTCTGTAGACCAGGCTGGCCTAGGACTCCCAGAGATCTGCCTGCCTCTGCCTCTCAAGTTTTGGGGTTAAAAGCGCATGTGCCAGTACACCCAGCATGGTCCTTCAAAAAATCTTAAAACAAGGCATGGTGGCTCATGCTTGTAATCTCAGCTCTCAGGAGGCTGAAGCAGGAGGATTGCCTTGAGTTTGAGACCAGTCTGGGCTACACATGGTAGCCCAGTCTCAAACAAACAAAACCAGGGCAGATGAGATGGCTCAGTAGGTATGAATGTTTGCTGTGCAAGCCAGGTGGCCTGAGTTTGATCCTCAGAAGCAACATAAACTTAGGTGAAGGAAAAAACTGATTCCACAGAGTAGTTCTCTAATGTCCACATGCAAACTCACACTCACACAAATATACACATACTTAAAGGTGTGTGCCACCACACCTGGTGCAACACACCATGCCTTGTCCAGTAGCCCTCCCCATCCCGTGGTGGTAATCTGTGTAGCCCCCTCCAGAACCTTAGAATTCTATGGAAACTGAGAAACCAGTTTTATAAGCCGGGTGTTGGTGGCGCACACCTTTAATCCCAGCACTTGGGATGCAGAGGCAGGCGGATCACTGTGAGTTCGAGGCCAGGCTGGTCTATAGAGTGAGTTCCAGGACAGCCTCCAAAACAATACAGAGAAACCCTGTCTTGAAAAAACAAAAAAAGGAGAGAGAAACCAGTTTTATAAATCAAGAAACTGAAACCTCGAGAAGGGACAGCTGTTTCTTTGCCACTTGATTAGTTCATGTCTGAAACCAGACTAGAGCTGTTCCCTGTGAACAGCCTTTTGTTGGGTGTAGGCTCGCAGTTATGGGGTGTGGCTTTCATAAACAGACCAGTCTCCTGAAGGGTTAGGTAGGAGAAATGATAAGAACAAAATGTCAGCTCAGCTGTGTTCCCCAGGGTCCAGAGTAGTGTGGAGTGGAGTAATTCAAGACTGGAGTCTTGTCTTTCCCCACAGGGTGGTATACCATGAACTGGTGCTGACCACCAAGGAATACATGCGCGAGGTCACCACCATTGACCCCCGGTGGCTTGTGGAGTTCGCTCCGGCTTTCTTCAAGGTCTCCGACCCAACCAAGCTAAGCAAGCAGAAGAAGCAGCAGCGCCTGGAGCCACTGTATAATCGCTATGAGGAGCCGAATGCCTGGAGAATCTCCCGAGCCTTCCGGCGGCGCTGAAAGACAGGACCACTCACTCTCCTCTCCTGCAGCATGTGGCTTCCTCTGGCTGATGACAAGCTGGTCCTTTGATGGCCTATCTCATACTGACATTTTCCAAACCTAACTGTCTTCATAGGATACGATAGAAACAGATTTAAGCAGGGCTTTGGCCAGAGCCTTTAAGCCCGGCACTGGAGAGGCGGAGGCAGACGGATCTCTGAGTTAGAGGCCAGCCTGGTCTACAGAGTGAGTTCCAGGACAGCCAGGACTACACATTAGAGAAACCTTGTCTTGAAAAGTCACATACACAGATCGGACAAGTTCTGCATCCTGGGATGGACGGGGAGTGGGCAAGTGTCTGTGGTGCATGACACACGGCAAGGGACCTGATACCCCAGCTCGTGCTTGCTGAAGGAATGAACTATGACACTCATGTGCCATGTTGGCCCGTTCCCTACTCCCTCCCCAGTCTCTGTACTTGGATTTTTACCTACTGGAAATATTTATTTTCTTAAGGAAACAATGGTTTATTGTGACTTTTTCTTGTGGGAGGGGCATTTGGAATGTCAGACTCTCAGCCTGAGTTCAGTGTGGTACACATGACGGAGAGTCTCCTAACACCAGAGCCCAGGCCTCCCTGGGCCAGACCTCCAGTCTCTTTCAGCACCATGGAGCTAGCTCAGCCTTGCAGCACATGGCCCCAGATAACCAAGTCTGTGCCAGAGTGCTTCAATCTGGTGCCTGGTGGTCAGGGATGCAACATCTGAACACCACAAAGATTTCCTCCATCCTGTCCCCTTCCTGTCACACTCTCATTGAGCAGTGTGTTCTGTTTCCTTTGAAACATAGCAAATGACAACACCACGACAACGTGGTTTGTTTCCGCTTTTTTCCTCCTGAAGTCGTCAATGGACTGAGCAAAGCCTCCCTTTCCATCATTGCCAGCAGAAAGCAAGCATAATGCCTCTTAGCTGATGTGTGCTGATGAGACCTGTGCTCTGGGTAGTGACCCATAGCTTCATTCCTGTTAGTGGTTTTTCCTAGTGCCCCCTCAGAGTAACTAAGGCGGCGCTGTACTGAAGGGAGACCGTCATGTCCTGCTGAGTTAGACGAGCTTGCTGAGGAGCCCTGGGGATGTTGGGCCCATCCTGGGCCATGGCATTCCTCCTGCAGCCCTTCCCACGTTAGTAACTTCTAGACGTGAGTAAATTAACTGTTGAGTGGTAGGCCAGATGTCAAGAGACTACAGCACTCTTGGGTATGTGACAGTGTGTAGTAACTGGTGGCAGAGAAGCCACCCTGATGACAAGTCTGAAAATCCAAGGGACAGGAACATAGACCAGGCATTGAGGGGCAGAGTATGTGTCCTTAGATGTCACCCTGTGAGGACCTGTATGAAACAGAAATAGGAACCCAGCATCCAGTTCCTGGTCTTTTGAACACTTGGCAGGTGACAAGTGTGCACGTCATCCTTGCATGGGGCCATGCTAACATCCGTATTGTTGCCCTTTTAGTATATTTGCTCTCTTCCCTCTCTGCTTTCCCTTCTCCCCTCTTGATAGGAAAGTATGTCCTCCGTACTCAGCCCCAGCCCAAGCCCCAGCAAGGGTGTCTAATGGTAGGTCAGGACCATAGGGCTGATTATGGATGCATCTCTGATTATTCCTTCTTTGTCTTTTGAGAGATGGGGTCACTTCTCTGCTGTGACAACACCCATCCGAGTAGCTACTTCAACTACAGGCCAAGACTACCTTGAGGGGAAGAAGTCTCTTGAGATTTGGGGGGGTTGAGCTGGCCTGTTAACAGTGATCCTGATTTCTCTCCATACCCTCCTTTTCCCGTGTGTTTGAAACTGGGTCTCACTTTATAGTCCAAGATCCCTTTGGATTCATGATGATCCTCCTGCCTCAGCCTCCCAAGTTGTGGGTTTACAGATGTACATCACCAGGCCAGTTTTAAGAAAAATTTGCTTATTTTATTTTATGTGTATATGTGTTTTGCCTGCATCAGGAATGTCTGTGTGCCACTTGTATGTCATCCCTGGTCCTTGCAAAGCCAGAAAAGGGTATTGATCCCCTGGAATTGGAGTTACAAATGGTTGTGAGCTGTCGTGAGAATAAAACCCAGACCCTCTGGAAGAGTCCCCAGTGCTTTTAACAGCTGAGCCACCTCTCCTGGCTCTTGTCTCATTCAATTCTCAAGCCAGTATTTCCTAAGATTGAGAGCCCAAGAGATGATGTGGGTCTTATGCACAGAACTGGAATCTTGGCCACTGTGTGCATATGTGTGGAGGTTGGAGGACAACCCATAGGGAATTTGTTCTCTTGCTCCACCATGTGGATGCTGGATACCGAAATCAGATAGTTAGGCTTGGTAGGAGTCATCCTGCTCGGTCTAACTCCCCCCACCCACAACTGCTTTTCTGTCTCTTTCTCTGAATTGTCAGTACATTTGATTTTTGGTGTTTCTAGGAAAAAGCGGTGCCCTGTACTTATGGGTAGCACTTGCCTTCCCCTGAACGGGCTTGTTTTTAACCGAGCAAGTTCTGGAAAGCTGGCTCTCGATACAGATTCGGTCCCTCCCTGTACCTGGTCTGCCTGTCACAGCTCTTTAGTCAGACCACTGTGTCCCTCCCACCCTGGGACTGCCTTGGGAGAATGTCTGCCACTGCTACCCCCTAAGGAGCCTGCCCAGAAGCCGCTGTCACCTCCTCCCCTACAGCTTCTTGCTGGAGTACCTTTCTCCTCTTCCACTCTCTAAACACTTGTCCCTGACCCCAGTAAAAGCAGCAACCTGGACCTTATAGGGGGAAAGACACGCAGTTGGGATAAACATGGTCTCCTGGTTATGGGAGCAACTGTGATCACGAAGTCACAGACCAGTGTCTCCCTGAGGACATTCCTAGGGACAGGCCAGCCAAGGGATAGTCAGGGGTTCCCATCTGGGTTAAAAAGTACCCTCTCCATCATTTCTGGATCCTCACAGGATCCTGGGCTGGGGAAGAGATTTCATGAAGTTGATTTTCTGGAGGAAAATCAACAGCCGGAGGGGAATTGCTTTACTCCAGATCTGCAGGGGAGGGCCTAAACTAGAATCCAGGAATGGGGTCATCATGTGTCATCATGTAAGACCTTGGGACAGACTTCAAACACTTGGTCATCTCCTTCCTGGCAACAGCTCTTCCCACCCTAGGTCCTTGCCTCACAGAAGAAAGAGCAAACGGTTGACGGGAGAAGCAGAGGCATTTATTAAGGTCTGGCAGATGAGGCGAAGGTGGAGCTAGGCACGGGTACACCTAGGGCAGTGAGCCGGAGGGTCCCTTGGAGGAGGTCCCCTTCTGTCCTTGCCTCCACCCAGCACCCACCCCAGCTGCCTCCCACCTGCTCCTGCCTCCCAGAGCACAGCACCAAGAACATAGGATCCCAGCTCAGGGCAGAGCCAAGGCTTCTGTCTCCCACGACGGAGAAGTGGGGTGTCCTGGGAACCCCCTTGGCCCTGCTGCCATAATAAAGTTAGGAAGCCCCTTGTCTGTACCAAGAACAGAACAAACACTGGTTCTCTGGTGGGGGTGACCAAGCAGAACCTCTGAGGGCAGAGGTGAACACAGCAAACGAACGCATTGCTGCATTTAGATCTGTCCTGCCTCCACTGTCCTTCCTGCAGACTGGATGTTGGCCGAGTCTGGCCAGGAGTAAGATGGGACAGTGGAGATGTGACCCCAGATTCTTGTATGGGCATCAGCATGAGGGCTTCCCCAACACCAAATCTGTTGATATGTACACCGGGCAGCCCCACCCGCGACAAAGGGAAGCCACTAGTACCTAGTAAGAATATCCACCTTTGTGGCTAAAGGGCTGAGCAGGGCCAGCCAGTTCTGGGAGGTAGGCAGGGCTCTCATCCAAGTGGGACAAAGGGACTGTGTCCTCCTCGCTGACTGGCCGGTCAAACTCGGCCTTCAGAGCTGGACGCTGATTATCCGGGAAGGCCAGCGAGAACAGGGCCTCAGGCTCACACACAAACTTGTACACGTAGCGCTCACCAGCCACCTGCAGAGAGAGGGCTGTCAGGCCTACACTATACCCTGCCTCAGGAGGGAATGTAGAGGATCCCATCCTCCTCATAGGTCACAAAGATACATCAGGGACCCTCCCTTGCTTTTCCACACTTGCTCTTCTCGAAACCCACTTCTGGCATTGTTCAGCTTGGAAACAGCGCAGTCACTACTTTTTGGTTGTTGTTGTTGTTTTCGCGACAGGGTTTCTCTGTATTGTTTTGGAGACTGTCCTGGAACCTCTCTGTAGACCAGGCTGGCCTCGAACTCAGAGATCCACCTGCCTCTGCCTCCCGAGTGCTGGGATTAAAGGCGTGCGCCACCAGCGCCTGGCTGCTCAGGCACTATTTAACAACTGCACAAGGTGAACCTTAGGATTTATATTTCTGTTCCCACAAACCTAAGAAATTCATTGTCCCTTCCTCCCTCCCTCCCTCGACCCTCCCTTGGTCCCTCCTCATGGCCATGCTAAGACCTCAATCCGACCTTCTGCATAATGCCTTTCTCATAATAGTATCGGAGTGAGCGGCTCAGCTTGTCATAGTTCATGGCTGGCCGGTTCTTCTGGATGCCCCAGAGCCTGGCGACCTGGGGACAGGAGACAAAGCATTTGGGTGGAGATGCCATCTCCAAGGAAAAATGGGAGGGGAGGGGTGGGAAGAGCATTTGAGATGCTTGGTGCAGAGGAAATCTAGACTTGTTACCAGACCACTGACTCAGGCCTGGCAACTAGGTCAGGCAGATGGAGGCTGGCAGTGAAGGCAAGTGCCCCGTTTCTCCTCCCAAGGCTCCTAAGGTGCTGCAGAGGAGGAGTGGGAACACCGGAGACCCACCTCTTCAGGTTCAATTAGTTTAAACTCCATCCCCCGGCCTGTCCAAGCAATGAAATGAGCATTGGTTGGGTCATCCAGCAGGGCCACCAGAAACTGCCACAGTTGCAAGGCACCCCGGCGCTGGTAGGGTGGCCCCTCCCGGAAAGCTCCAACCCCTTCCTGCTTGATGTCTCCTGGGAACGTGGAAATAGGTGTGAGGTACATATCCCCTGACCAACCTCCTTCCCTTCCCCATGGGGCATCCCCAGGCTCTTTTCCTGAGAGTCCCGACCTCTCCCAACAACAAAATGCGATTCTTACAGAGGACCCAGTGTGATAGGGGTGAAGAAGACCCTGACCCTCCTATGCAGCCACTTCTCTGACCTTCAAATTTTTCAGGGACAATGCAGACATCATCTGGGAATGGTCGAAGAGATTTCTCATAGCCATAACCTTGTGGAGAAAGTTGGGGACTGCTCAGGTCTTAGGGTTCACTGATTGGACCCCCATGGAATCCAAAAGAACTCCTGACTGGAGTGACTCTCCGGGGCAGCAAGGATTCCCCACCCCCAATTAGGAGGCCTGAGCCAGGAAAGGAAGAGGCTGCCTTACCCATCACTCCATCACCTGGAGAGGGCCCAGAGAAGCCCTCTGGGTGCAGGTACATTGATGCACACCCAGGGACATCTGCGGGAGGGAAAAAAGGGTCATGCGGTTAACTGACTGAAACGAGGCTGAGGAGCAGGGGAGGGAGAAGCTCTACGAAGAAGTTCATGCCTGCTAGCCCGCGGTCCAGGCCGTCCTTTTCCCACCCCCAAATGCCAGGGGAAGTTCACCCAGAGGGAGCTGGAAGCTTGAAGCCCTCGGTTTGAGGGCTGGGGCGGAGGGGGTTGGCAGCAGCTGGGGCTAGCAGCCTGTTCTACAAGGCCCAAAATTCCAGGGAGCAGCTGTTTCCTGTGAGTTCAGGGGAAGGAGGGGGTGAGATGAACCTCCGGGGGTTGGGAAGGGTTCGGTAAGACTTCCTCGGAATGGGCACATGTCCGGTCAGCAGGTCAGGTTCCATGGCCAGTACCTCTGTGTCTGTGTGTGTGTGTGTGTGTGTGTACAAGTGAGAGGAGCGCGGGGGGGGCATCTAGGGAAGAGGCAGCGGGCACTGGGCTGGTTTTTTTCTCGGGTCTAAACGCTTTCTACGGCGTTCCAAGCCATAGAACTGAAAGCTCCACCTAGAGAAGGTAACTGTGTGAAGCCACGCTTCAAGTTCCAAACCTTTCCCGCCCCCTCCACTCCCACCTATGAATGAGCCGCTGACACCCGACACCTCGGGGGTGGGGGGAAGCAGGAGGGAGGGTTCATTCATGCCTCCATTTTGTGAATGGAATTCCTGACTCCATTCAGGAAAGCGGAGGGAGGCGGGGCAGGAGTTCAAGGGCAAGTAACTCGATCTCCTCCGGTCTCTAGCCTTTGAAGGTCAGCAACTCCGAGCATCTCCCTCTTGCAGCCACCACTTCACCGAGCTTGGCGTTACAGCCAGGTTTAAAGAAAGGAGGCTAGCACCTATCCTGTTCTCCCTGGAGCGGTTGGGGGGGTTGTGGTTCAGCCCCCGGCCCAGAAATACTGTGCACACCAGGAAAGGAAAAATTCTACAATTCCAGCCAACAGCTCTTCAGCGACTGACTGGCGCTCGCTCTCTCTCTCTGTCTCTCTCTCTGTCTCTCTCTCTCTCTGTCTCTCTCTCTCTCTGTCTCTCTGTCTCTCTCTCTCTCTCTCTGTCTCTCTCTCTCTCTGTCTCTCTCTCTCTCTGTCTCTCTGTCTCTCTGTCTCTCTCTCTCTCTCTCTCTCTTCCTCTCTTCCTCCCTCCTTTCCTTTCCCTCCCTCCCTCTCCCTCCTGCCCTCTCCCTTTCTGTAGCCCAGGCTGGCCTGAAATTCATTATATAGCTCAGGCTGGTTTTAAACTCATGGCTATCCACCTGCCCCCACCTCCTGAATGCTGACATTAATGGAAACGCACAACCAAAGCTCTATTTTTTTATAGACATTAGTCTAGGCTAGCCTTTTTGTTGATGAGCATCCTGCCTTCACTTCCTAAGTGCTTGGATTACATGGGTACACATGTTCAGCTCCCTTCATAGTTATAAACCATTTTTGTATAACTGCATACTCTAGTTCCAGGCACAGTACTCTGGTCTTAGTGGGTTAATTAAAACCCCTAAACTCCAAGCAGAAGTAAATGCCAACCCTTTTTATTGTCAAAAGCTGTAAAGGCAAAGGTCTATATACTCTATCATTTTATCTGAATGTTGACTGGCTAGAAAAATGATCATTCTTTAGAGCATGTAAAACAAAAAGTAATGAGTTGGATTAAGAACTGATGCATGGACCATGGAAAGGCATAAACCTTCTAGGGATCTTAACCTTGCTGCTCATAGGAGTAGTTGCCACCCCCCCCCCTCAATCCCAGAAAAACTCCTGGAGTCCCCACAAGAGTCTCTTACCTGAGTCATAGGCGAAGTCTGTGCGCTCCTGTTTGATCACCACCCCTGCCCCTGAGTACCTGTGCCCACTGACCCCACCCTGGCTTGCAGCCGGCTGGCCAGCCTGTTCATACAAGGGGTCATGGTACTCTTGCTTGAAGCTCTGCTGGGGGTAGGGTGGGCAGGGCTCCGACAGCTGGTGTTGGTAGGGGGCTGGGAGAGGTTCCCGGCCCCCTCCCTGAGGAGATGTGAAGGAGTGGCACATGTCCAGAGGCTGCTGGAAGACGGAGCTGGAAGTGAGGGGTGGAGGAGGAGGAAAAGAGAATCTTCCGTTAGGTCCCCTTGAGCCTGTCACTTGCTGAGTTCCCCTGGTTTTCCTTTTCTCCCAGCCAGGTCTCTTTGGAGAACTAGGGAATTGAGCCCAGACTGCCTGGCGAGGCCTGGGTCCCCGGGTACTGTGTATCTGTCTCCTTACCTGTGCTCACCAAGGTACCCGTGGCCAGGGTGGGGCTGGGAGGAGCTGGAGGGTCTCAGGAGGCTCTGCTGCTGCTCTGCCCTGGGAAAGGGCTGCAGGGGCGACTGTCCAGGGGCACCAGGGGCGGGGGACTTGATGGCGATTTGTCTGGGGGAGTCATAGGCACTGGGGTTGAGGGGGAGAGGAGGATGAGGGGACAGAGAAGCTAGGTGACCATCCTTTACCCTTCATCCCCCAGGAAGTGATTACTACAATTGTAGGAGTAGAGGGGAATTTTATTTATTTATATATTTAATTTGTTTTGTTTTTCAAGACAGGGCTTATCTCTGTAGTCCTGACTGTTCTGGAACTCCCTCTATAGACCAGGCTGGCCTCAAACTCACAGAAATCTACTTGCCTCTGCCTCCCTCCTAAGTGCTAGGACTAAAGGTGTGCACCACCACCAATTTTATTTATTTATTTGTTTGGGTTTATCTATGTGTCCCTGGCTGTCCTAGAACTCACTCTGCAGACCAGGCCAGCCTCTGCCTTCCCAGTGCTAGGAAAAGTTTTTTGTTTGTTTGTTTGTTTAAAATAGGGTCCCTTATAGTCCGTGGTGGCCTCGGACTCTCCATACGTAGCCAACAATGACCTCTAACGTCATTCTCCCGTCTCCACCTCACAACTGCTGAGAGTGCACACAATCACCAGCCAGGTTTATGTGCGAGGTTTATGCAGTGCTGACAATCAAATCGGGATATGCAAGCACTCTGCCAGCTCAGCTACATTCCCAGCCTCCAGGCAAATTATTTTTTCTCTCCTCCAAAAGGGTCTTGCTCTGTAGCCCAGCTCGATCTGGGCCTCCCTATGGAGCTCAAACTTACTATCCTCCTGTCTCAAGCACATGCCATCATATTTGTCTAGGTGACAACCTCTTAGCTTGACAATATCCCTCAGAAGCACAGGGGAACTGGTTTGAGTAGGACATGGGCCTCCAAGTAGAAACTCATTGTGCTCAGGTCTCAGCACACTGGGGGCCATCTGTCCACTGTGTGGTGCCTCCTGATAATACTCAGAGGAAACCTTGCTAGTGCTACCTTCAGGACTAGGAAACCCCTCTGCTATCCAACCTTCATCTCTACTGCTGCCTCAGCTCATGGTCCCCCACCCCCACCCTCAACAAAGCCTTGACCTCTGGACACCTTGCCCCAGACTTCACCACACCCTCCAAGGCCAGGGCTCACCTGGAGTAAAGGCACTGCTCTCCATGGTGGTAGGGGAGTGGTGGCTTCCTGCTGCAGGACAGGGCCGGTTCTGTGCGGGGACTCTGGGGTTCCTTCTTGATCCTGGTGGTGGGGCTATGGAAAGCTACTGTGGGGTAGGACAGTAGGACGGAGGAAAGTCACAGTGTCACATGGAGGTTGACAGGGCTTTTGATAAACACCTGGGCTTTCTGAGGGCTGGCTAGGTCACTGGCACAGTGTCCTCCCTTCCTGCTCTCATTCTCTGAACGCTGAAGTTGACGGATTCCAGAACTGGTTACTCCCATTATGTGTAGTTTTAAACATGAGGCTAATGTCTCGTATTAACCAAGAGAATCATCTAAGAATTCAACATGCATACCTCAGCTAAGGAAACACCTTCCTAAGAGTGAGCATCTTAGACCCAGGGCCTTAGGCTTCTCTGAGTGCCCTGGAAATTTCCAAGTGAGGGACATGTTTTCTTGTTTGGGGCTATAAAGATCCTTTGGTTTTCTGAGGGAGTTGGGCTATTAGCCCACTTGCCTGTCAGCTGAGAAACATACTCATGCTCCCAATTATCTGTGAGGAGCACTGGCCTTTTTGGGCCCTTTCTGGGTCCTTAAAGTCCAGCTATCACTGTGGCTAAGCCCTGGTGTAAGTGACATCCTGGCATCCTGCAGTCCCATCAGATGCCCTGGAGTCCACAGCTCTGATGTCCACTGTTTTCCATTCTTGTGCCTATTTTATGTCATGAGTGATGACATCTAAGAGCAGTACCTGATATCTAAGTATCCTTTCTTCATACTTTGCTTTTTCTTGTTTTTTCAAGACAGGGTTTTTCTGTGTAGCCCTGGCTGTCCTGTAACTCACTCTGTAGACCAGGCTGGCCTCAAATTCACAAAAATCTACTTGCCTTTGCTGTAGGTGCTGGGATTAAAACACCATTATCAGGCATTCTTCTTCATTTAAGGCAAGGCTTTACTATATATCCAGACTGATCTCAAACTCATTGTTCCTCAGATTACAAGTGTGGGACACTTTACCTGGCCAAGCATCATTTCTCAATAGTGACAGTGAGGTCAGATTGGGGGGGGGCATTGTAGGATTTTTGCAGCACCCAACCCCAAACTCTACAGAGATACTGACAAATCTGTCCTGGGGCAACATCACCAACGCTAAAGAGAATAACAGAACAACAGATCTGGGGCCTGCTGAGCTGTCTCAAGCCCCTAGCTTTGGCTGGAGAGGGAAGGCATCTGCTCCACGTCACATGGCTACAACTCCAGAGGGCGGGGGAATCAAGATCTTCATCTCCTAGTCACTGCCTTGGTCTTAGAGTCCATAACACAGGATGGGGCGCCCTGACCTTCATCCTGTCTTTAGGTGAGAGCAAATTGCTTTCCTTTGGGTGACTGTCCCCATGACTCACTTCCTGTGGTTCCCTGACCCCCCCATCCCCCACCCTTGCACCCAGCACTCACTACTCACAGTTTTCTGAATGAAAATCAGGAACAAACTGCTCATCGCTGTCTGGTACCTGAGCTGCAGAGAGAGGCCAGAGGTGAGTCTGGGGTGTAACCCTGCAAAGTGTCAGCACCAGGAAGACACCACTGCTCCAGCCCTGAAGCAGTCAAGAGCTTTCCTTAGACCTGTGGTGACTCCACCCCAGGTCCTGCACCCTCCAGCTCCAGCTGAATGAAGATGGGGGGTGACACAGGGACAGAACTTGTCTGAGCAGACTCCAGTCTTTCCCTAAATGTTTGTCCCTGGTCCCTCCAGTTTTCTGAAGAGCAAATGGACCTGCCCTTCAAAGTTTCCAAGGGTTTGTCAGGCTCACAGCAGAGTGCCATTAGGGGTGGGCAGGAGTTTTGTGGAGTCCTGTGTACCTGGAATCAGATGAGGAAACCCTGAATCTGGGAAGAACCCAAGAGTCTATACTTCGGATAATTTCCCAGGTGCTTTGGAGAAACTCAAGCGTTCTAGAGTCTCGGAAAGGGAATGGAGCAAAGAGAACAGCTGCAGAGATGTGAAAAGAGGGTAAAAATAGGACAGGAGGAAGTTGGAGACACCGTTCATCATTGATGTGTGGCCAAGGGAAAGGAGGGCTTTCCAAGCCTGGAGGTCTGGGGAGCATTCTCCTGGGGCGAGCATCTCTGTCCCAAAGGGCACCTCGATGGACTCCACAGTGTTTGTTTACTTTTGCCTCTTTACTGAGGAGGAAGAATTACAGCAGAAAGAACCGACACAAAGAAGGACTTCCTGATTGTCTAGGACAATAGTGGGTCTGAAGCAGGACAATGGAACTCGTGACCCAGGAGACTGGACTGTCACTCCCTGGAGTCTGCTCTCAGACTGGACAATGTCAAAATGGCAAGATAAAAGACTCAGACTTCAGAGTGGCTGGCGAGGCTATAAGACGAGGGATAGGGAACACTCTACACCCAATCCCATGTGAGCACACAGGCTCAGATCTTGGCCACAGGACCCTGTGTTTCCCTACTCACCCACTCCAGACCGTGCAGCCCACACAGCCCGCAGGGTGATCTTTGTACAACAGAAGCCCAATCACTTTGCTCTCTCGTTTAAAATGTGAAATCTGAACTCTTGCCCTGGCCTCCTCTCATCTCTCTGGCCTGCCTCTCACTGCTGTTGTTAACCCCTGGCACCTTGGTCCTCCTTTAGTTCTCAGTCTGCTGAGCTGGGCCCTTTCCCCCAGATCCTCTGCTCTGTTCTGGCTCTCACTATGTAGCCCAGGCTGCCCTAAAACCCAGCATCTTCCCAACTCTGGCTGCAATGCTGGGCTTACACAAGGGCTCCCTTCCAGGCTTATTAGAGGCCTTATCTGACCACCCCCAAGGAGAACTGTCCCTTTTGGCTTCTGTCTCAGCTAGCCACCCCCCCCCCACTCCATCTTATTAATGTATATTTGCATGTTAATATTCATCTTTTTACCAGGAAGTTAAGCTGTAAGGACAAGGGCTTTGTCTCCTTCAGATGAGTATCTAGCACCCAGAACAGGGTCCTACTCAGCTCAGATACTGAAATGACTGGAATTTATGAATAAGCATCCAATGAGATTGGTCCTCAGGCTGGGAGGAGCTAGCACCACAGATTCTGAAAGCAGAGAGACCCTAAGTCAGGCAGACCTTCCCTTTCCCTACTCCTTTCCAGCTACCACCAGCAAAGGCACGCCACCGGAAAAGCTCATCTTACAAGGGTACTCAAGCTGTGATCAAACGCTCGCTTCAAATGTCAACGGTACTAAGTGATTATAGACAGAAGTTTGTAGTTGATTTTTATTTATTTACTTATTGCAATGATGGGAGTTGGATCAAGGTGCTTTTGAACCCCCAGCCCTTGTTTTTTGTTTTTTGTTTTTTTTTGAGACAAGGTCTTACTAGGTACCCTAGGCTGGCCTGAAATTCACCATCCCCCTGCCTCAGCTTCCTAAGGCCTGTGATTACAGGCCTATGCAGCACCATGTCTGGCTTAGATTATTATTATTTTTTAGAGAGATTGGGGTGAGGGAGTTTAAGAAGCAGAAGTCTCCAGCAGTTAAGAATTTACTTAGATCAGGGTACTACATCAATGGGACACTATGTCTCGCCACAAAAATGTATGTAAATCCCCAGCTCTCTGAAAGTCCAACTACTATCCCACAGAAACTGCCCTCCATCCAGCCTGGCTGAAGAGTCACCAGCTTTGATATTGCCACCAGTTCCCAGATTCCCAGTCCTCGAATCTGTAAAGTCATTCTATAAGACAGAGGTGGGTCAGGCATCCACATTTGCAATAAATGTCCCTGATGACTGGCTGATTTGGAAAACACTAGTTAAGGGAAGGACATGTTCATTCCTGCTTGGTCTTCGGCCCATTCTGAAGGTGGCATGAGCAAGCAGGCTGAGCGGTATTTCCCTCCCTGCTACTTAGGCTAGGAGGGTCCCGAGGGCAAGGAAGGGGTACAGAACTTGGCAGGGGGTAGCTGACGTACTCTGGAGTCCCTCTTGGGGCCTCATTAACTACCGGTTTCCAGTGAGGTAATGGGCTGGGGGCATCTCCTGCTGACGCCACTGGGCTAGAGAGCCCTGTGGGTCATCTGACCTTTCCTCCTGCCTCAAGCTTGAACATTTATTCAGAACCCCCAGAAGAGACCTCTCTTTAGCAAACAGACTATATTCCTAAAGAAGCAATGCTATCCTCTTCTCAGAATGGGGAGTGAGCCCTACTCCGTACTCAGCTCTCCCAATATTGGTCCTCTCCCAAAGGGGTACAGCAGGGCCCTCAGTCACCCAGAGACTATCATTGAGGATAGAAATAGGTACAGAAACAGAGCCTTGCGTTCCTGGAGAGCAGAAGAAATTTTAATTACCATGTTTGGTCTTGAACGTGCACCATTCTACTTGTTGACTCGGCTGTGTTTTGGCTGCTGAGCCACTGTCATCTTCCCCCAGATCCACTGGCACTAAAAAGGGGTTATCTAGGTGGGGACACGGCAGATGATTAAGGCAGGGTGTGTGTGTGTGTGTGTGTGTGTGTGTGTGTGTGTAGCCAGTATAATTCACAAGCATGCCAGTATAATTCACATGCATGCCAGAGCACACACACACGCACACACACAGAATACTCAGAGACTGTCCCTCTAACAGGGAGCCAGGGGACTCCTAAGATGGGCTCCAGAAGAAATGGGAAGTTTAACCAGCAAAGCTGTGAAGCCTATCAGGAGCCTGCTGCCATGTATCCCACAAAAGGATGTAGACCACCCTCTGGGTGTGGGGCAATCCCACATAAGAGTGAATGGTAGCATTCTTCAGAGCTTCTGCTCTATTGTGTCACCATTGGCTGGGGGCTCTCACCCACACCCTGCCCCCACCCTGGCAGCCTCTATCTTGGAAGGAACCAGTTCTCTATCTGTGGAGGGGACAACATTCCTTCCCAGGAACCTTCTGGAAGGGGAGGAAATAGAAAGATGGAGGAGGCATTGAATTAAGAAAGACTAGGGGGGAAATTGAAGTCTAACCCCCTCCCCCAACAGACTCCCCCCAGACACCAGGGTGCATGCACACTTTCATTCAAATTCCTTGTACTTAATTATGAGAAAATATATGGGTGAAAGCACCCTCCATACATGGGGTCTCTTTTTGGACCTAGATACAGATAAGGAGGTCAAAGGGCCAGGGGAGGTAGCCCTCTTGGAGGACTGTTTGGCTGCAGTTAATTCTTGTGGAAGGATGAGCCACATCCATCCCTTACAATTCTGATAAAAGCTACAAACCATTTTCGTTATAGATAAGTCCATATTATCACCACATAGGGTACAACCCCAACAGTTTTACACATAGAACAGCAATATCAAGGACCCCAAATCTATCCACAAGTCCTCTGGGAATTAACAGACTTCCCCCTCCCCAACTTCATACAAAAGGCGGACACAGCTCAGTCAGTGTTCCCCACTACCAAAGAGACCACAGAAACACTGTTCCTAATGGTTCCTGAGCCCCCCCCCACAGTCCCACAAAGGGACCCTCCATCAGATCCACAAATCTTTTACATAATCAGCCACATCTTGGCGCAGTCTGCCTGAGCCTGATCCATTTCCCAACATCTCAACAGATCCCAGGCACCCAGAAACCAGGTGACCCTCTCGGCTCACTTCACCCTTCTTTTACCCAGAAATAGCCCGACCCCAAAGATGTGTGTGCTGCCGCAGAAGAGCCTCACCAACACTCACTCCAAAAGCCCAGTCAGCAGCCAAGATGCCGGAAGCCACATCCACTTCTCTCTGTCCCTGCTTGGGTCCAGCCTGGTCACCAGCAGCACCCCAACCCTTCACTGCCCCACCCACACTATAAGCGGTCACTGCTTCTCTCCAAATTGAGGCTTCAGGAAGAAACCAAGCTGAGAGGGAGGAGGTTGGGCTATGGGCCCCATTCCTCCTGATGGCCCCCACCATTGGCAAGTCTCCAAAGGAGCTCGTCCCTCCCTGTCACCCCTTTGGCTTGGGGGGGCACTGACCTGGTGGGAAGAGGCAGGAGAGGAGACTGGGGTGATGTTGGGATGATGCAGGGGGACAGGACCCCGGCAGCTGCATCTGTCTCCGAAGACAGAGAGAGGAGCGAGTGGCCTCAGCATCCCCCCCTCAGGCCTGGCCATCCATCGCCAGCTGGGAACCTGAGCTGCTCCCTCAGGAGGAAGGAAAGGGAACCAAGGAGATCCCAGCCCCCCCCCCACCCTGCATTCCCCACCCCCACCTCCCCACCCACTGGATTTAAATGTACAGGAACTCCCAAGGCAGCAGTATGTAACACACACATGCACGCGTGCGCACATGCAAGTGCGCACCCATTTGCTGTCATACTAGCACACACAGACAGACACATGGACTGTCACCAGAGCCACCACCAAGGGGAGGAGCTTCCATGGTTGGGTGAAGAGAGCATTTTCCGTCCCTTGTCATCCAAACAGACCAAGTACTACCACAATGCCACCCTGAGCTAACTCACAGCCTGGGAGCTGACTACTGTGGGGACCCTCAGCTGATGGGCAGGGAAGGGAACCCAGAGAGCCAGACCAAAATCAAAACTCAGGTGGTAAGAAAGGAGGTCTTTAAGAGCTCATGGAAACCCTGAGTTCTTCAGCTCTAGAACATGGAGGGTGGTAAGCCCACTCAACAAAGCTCTTCATGTAACTAGGAGCTAGACACTCAGCTGAAGGAGTTAGATACACTTGATATCCCAGGACCCACACACACCCCATTCCACATTTTTGGAGGATGAACTCCATGCTAAACAGTCATTCTGCAACAACAATAACAGCAACAATAATGTATGCGTTTGAGATGGTGGCCAAGACAGACCTCATTTTATCTCAGATCTACCTAGTGGTCTTTTTCTTCTTACCCAAGCACTCCTATAGAGAGAATCCTGGGAGAAGGTGGATTTGAGCTTTTAAATTCCAAAAGAAAGGTACCCAGAGTGGGGGAATGGGGAAGCACACAGGAAGAGAAAAGACGTCAAGAAAAGGGTTCACTTTCGGTTTCTTGCTTTTTAGATTATGAATATAAAGGGGGTGTTAGCTAAGATGGGGTTGTTAACCCTTCCTGAATCATGGGGACTGTAAGTCACCATGTCTCCTTCTACTGACAGCCCTCTGCCAGCAATACCCTCAGGCTAAATAACCTCACCAAAATACACCAACTAGGATCCAACTAGAACACACCGCCCTCCCGGCCTCCCAACCCAGGCTGGGCCACTGACCCCATCCTGGCCAGCTCACAACCAACCCACCAACATACAGGAAGGGGGGCATTTGCCTGGGGGTGGAGGTATTCAGGAGGGATGCAGGGAGGACCAGTTGCCACTGGAATTATAATCAAGGCTATTTGGGGAGGCAGCCCTGAGTCTTCTTTGCCAAAGTGCCAAGAAAAGAATTATTGAAACTTTTGTTGTTATTTTGGCTTGGGCAGTAAATTGGCCCTTGGAGTTAGGAAGACAGCAAAGGAAGGCAGTAAAAACCAATGTTCAGGCAACTTCAGAAGATAGGTAGCAAATTATTTATTTCTCCTGTTTCTCAACTCTCTTTCTACATCTCAACACCCCAACGCTACACCTAGGCCTGGAGCCTCCTGCCAAACAAACTTTGCAAATAAAATTTTCAACCAGGAAAAACGGGCCTGGGGCCAAGTTCCATTCAAATAAGCAAATACCCCACACAATAGTCTGATTCATCCCCAGGCCTAGTTATACAAGCCTGGCTCAGGGTGAGAAAATAAATATGGATATAAGTGTCCACACTGGGCGCTGGGGAGAGTGAAGTGGTTAGGGACTGGGGGAGGGGACTGAAGGATTCCTTGAGACAGAAGACCCCCCACGCCCCACTTCTAATTCCATAAAGACAACAAAACTACTCACCTTCAGCGAGCCACGTCTCTTGGAAGTGACTGAGATCCTGGAAGAGATCTGATGGGTGAATATTGGAATTGGTGATGAGGTGGAGAGGATATGGGTAAAGACCTGACGAGCCCGGGTTACAGCCTCCCCACTGGGATAAGGGAAGGAGAATGATCAGAGTCCTCTGGGTGGTTTAACTTTTGGAGAAAAGTGGGTTGGGGAGGTCCAGGATAGGGCTTTGGGATGTGTGTGGGTTAAGGAGAGGGGTCGCAGTTAAGTTTGGTTCTTTACCTTCTGAGTCGGAAGGCGGCAGGGAGCCCGGGTCCATGAGCTTCCCCTGCGGGACCATCAGCGCTTCGCCCAAGCTCCCATTTCCGGGAGATTTCTGCTGGAAGGAGGGGGGAGAATGCCCCCGAATCACCCTAAGGAGTCTAGCTTGGGGGTGGGGGTGGGGTCCCGGGGCGGCTCAGGGGCTAGGCCTCCCTGGATCCCACTGAGACCCCCCGGGAGGGGGCTCTGGGGCGAGTAGGGGCGGGGTGCGGGGCGGGGGCGGGTGTGGAGGCCAGCGCGGCGCTCACGCTGCAGAAGGTGTAGGGCACTCGCTGGTCCAAGTATCCGCCTTTCATCCTCCGCTCCATCCGGCCGCTCCCTTCGGCCACACGGCCGGGCCCCCGCGCGGAGGCAGAGACCTAGGAGGGGGGGAGGCAGTTCGTACACGGTCCCGGGAGCGCTGCGGGGGGGATGGGGCGATCGCGAGGCTTCGGGTCGGACAGTGAAACTTCTCGGACTCCCTGGGACCTGCGTGGCCAAGTGCCGCCACCGCCACTCCCCTCCCGCCAAAGGAGGTCCCACCTGCTCCCGCGAGCTGGGGTCGGCGTGTCTGCTTTCTGCAACCCTGCTCAGCCCGGGCTGGGTTACATAAGACGTGTGTGTGCGCGTGTGAGTGTGTGTGTGTGTGTGTGCGTGCGCGCGCAAGGCGCACACCATTCGCACGCCCATAACTCAGGCGCCCCCTCCAGCCCCGAATCCCGACGCCTCCCACCCCCGCCCCGGAATGTGCGGAAGCGGGCGCCGAACAGAGAGTGTGATGTGTGGGAGATGAAGCGGGGAATCAGACACTCTCCCTTCCTTCCCCTTCCGCAGCTTCACCTGAGGCCCGCGCGTCTGTGCAGGAGCCGAGGGGGGATGCTCAGCATGCCCGGGGGATGACACAACTAAGGTGGAGGGGCTAGGCCGGAGCGAGGCGGCCTGAGCCCCGCGTCCCCAGAGCCCCGGTTTGTTTTCCGGGCGCAGCAGACAGTTGTGAGCCCAGGGGAGCAGCTGATTGGTGCATTTCCTTTGCCTCAGCCTCCGTTCTCGCTCCCCCCCGCCACCCCCGGTTCCCTTTGTTTCATTGACTTTTGTGAATGAAACCCCAGGGCCGGGCACGCCCGCCAATCCGCAGACTCGCCTAGCCTGGCTTGAGGGCGGAGTTTCCCATCCACGGAGGCCAATCAGAATGTAGGGGCTGTCTCTCGGCTTCATTCACTTCTTAGACTTCCATTCATAAAAAAATAAACTCATTTCGGCCCTAGTTCATTCATAAAGAATTGAGAAAAAGAGAGGGAAGCTGAGGACCGGGCAGCTTCTCTATCGGTTCCGGCGTGGGCTTTGGGTCTGAGGAGCTCTGAGCCCCTCCGGCTGGCGTTAGCACACGCCTCTGTGCTTCTGTGCATACGTGGGAGAGTGAACACGCCTGTGTGCCCTGGGGGGAAGGGGAGGCAAACGAACTTGTGTGCCCAGAGGAACTATAATAACTAGCATTTATGAAGAGCTCTGCCTCCACGTGCTCATTTCCTTCCCATAACCCGGTGCCACGGAGCTATTGTTTGCTTTTTTTTTTTTAACAAGTGAAAATGGAAGAAAGCTAAGAAAGAGATGTTGTCCCGCACCTGAGGTAACTCAGCTAGTCAATACTTCTTGGCATTCGAGCCTCAAAGCCATCACATCCCTGTGTAGCCCTGTGAGGCCATGAGATTCAGTGAATTAAGCTAAGTGAATTAAACAATAGATGCACACTCGTGCTCAGTAAATGTAAAATGGCATGGATACAGTTTTCTCAAGGGCCTGTGTTCTGTAGAGCTGCTTTGTCTGTGACTTGCTTTATCATTCCTTCATTGCTGTGAAAACCAGAGGCTCAAGGACAAGTGATGTCCCCTCTCTTTGCCATCTTACCTTTCATCTGAAGGCTAGCCAGAAAAGGAAGAACTCCCAAGTGACTTGATCAAAGGCGTGGATGGGTTTCAAGTTGTTTTGTAACTTCACTCCTTCATTCAATAAGTATCTGCGATGCCCAGTGCTGTGTGGTAGACTGTGAGAAAGACTGCCTCCCTTGGGGTCCGGGTTGCTCTAGCTGCCACCACAAGGACCCAAAGGTCCATGGGGCTGGTTTCAAAATCCATCTATCTAATCAAACACCCCTGATTTACAGGTGAGGCAGTCCCGAGAAGGACGTGATACATGTGATCTCTTCCAGTCTGTAGGAGTCAGAACTGGGACAAGAAAATTAACTCCCTGGCACCGGAATAGAACTCATTCTGCAGCACCAACTCCCTCCCCCCTTATCTGCCAAACTGTTCTTTAAAACTCAAACTTGCTGCCCCTCTCCCCCAGGGAGCTTTCCTTCGACAACGAGAGCTTGGGTCAGTCCATATCCCTGGTGAGGTATCATTCATTCTGTTTCCTGTTACAGAAACCCCTGTGTATGCACAGGGAGCCCTGCAGGGCTCAAAGAAGGATCTATTTGTAAGAACTCCTTGAGCCTCGCTCATTCTCAAGAGTACAAAATGCCTGTCAGGTAAAAAGCTACAAGAAAAAGCAAAGTAATGGAGTTTTGCAGGCACCCTGCCCAAGGAAGGAGAGGCAAGCCCAAGCAAATCCCAGCTTAGGGTGGGGTGCGAGTTCCTGGGCCAGGAGGAGTGGGGGAGGAAGGCAGGCAGTTCTAGGAAGAGAGCTCTGATGTGGTCTTCACGAAGGTTCACTTGGGTCCCTGAGTGAGCATTGGGTGCTCCAGTTGGGGCCTGTCCAGGGCTGCCTGTCTGGTTCTGAGCTCTTCTTTTCTTTGGAGGGCCCTGGCTACTCAATATTCCCCCTCCTTCCCTCACCCTCCCCAGGCCTGGCAGAGACCAAAGGAGCCTACCTCCCTGTCTCTAGCTCAGCCTGCAGACCCAGTGAGAAAGTACACTGCAACTGCAGCTGTCACACTTGCCTCGGCCTCTGGCTGAGCATGCAGGTTAAGATCAGGGACATTTCCGAAGGGAACACTGGAGCCTCTTCTCCAACGGGGCCCGAGGTAGCAGAGAAGAAGAGAGAGGCTGAGGTGCAGACTGGGACTCACGTTGTGGGTTAAGTGACATTGACAGAGCCAGCCTTGTGTGTATGTTCATCAGTTCCTGCCACCTGCCATCCACACCTTTACAAGAGGTGACAATGGAGGCCTTCCAAACGCACACTACCCCCAAGGGTCCCCAAGTACAGATTGAGGATACCCCCAAAGAGACTCACTTTAAGGAAGCACAGGAGGCTGCTTGGAGGACATTGCCACACCTGACCTGCACTGTCACCACTCAGATGCTGACTCTCAGGCTTCCTTTATGCGTTGACTTGCTTCCTGACTCCTCTAATATACTTTCAAGAGAGGCTGGGCAGGTAAATACTCTCTTCCTCCAGTAGAGTGGGGGGCTGGACTCTAACTTGTTTCCTAGGAGTTTAAACTCTAAAATGTAAACGTGGACTTTAGAGATAACAAATTTTCATACAAAGGCAGCCCATAGTTTGCTATAGAAGCTGGGAGACCCGGAGTACAGGCATGGAAAGGAAGAAAGCTGTTTAAGGTGCCTGAATGCAGCACCATGCTGACTCTGGAGTCATCAGAGAGGCGGACTCTCCCCACACAGCTTTTATAATGTTTTTCTTAAGTTTGCTTTATTTTGATTTTATTTTATTTATGTGTATGTGTAGGTATGTGTGGGTGCCTACAGAGGCACTGGCTCTCCTGAAGCTGCAGGTTAACAGGCAGTTGTGAGCCATCTGGTGTGGGTGCTGGGAACAGAACTCAGGCCCTCTGGAAGAGCAGTATGTGCTCTAAACTGCTGAACATTTCTCCAGCCCATGTTTTGTTCTCTCTCTCTCTCTCTCTCTCTCTCTCTCTCTCTCTCTCTCTCTCTCTCTCTCTCTCTCTCTCTCTCTCTCCCTCCTTTTATGCTTTCTTTTCTTCCTTTCCTCCTTTCCCCTTTTTGAGACAGGGTCTCATATGACTCATTCTGACTCAGAACTCCTTATGTAGCTAGGATGGTCTTAAAATGTTGATCCTCCTGCTTCAGTGTACTTATGGTTTGCTTGGTCTTTTGAAACAGGGTCAGATTCTAGGTCTCCCAGGCTGGCCTTAAATTTATGATCCTCTGCCTTGTCTTCCTAGAGTGCTGGAATTACAGGTAAGCAACAGCATACCTAGCCCACATAGGTTTTGGGGGAGTGAAAGGCAGGGGGCTAGATTTGGTCCTCAGAGTTGTGTTAGCTGGGGACTTTCCATGGGTAACTGGTCCAGACTGACTATTTGCAGGGACAGAGAAGTCTTCAGGCTTGGCTTCTGCAGAACCTTGGAAAGCAGTTTCAGGCACTTAAAGGGAGAATTCGAGGATAATGCAAGGTTGAGGAATGATACCAATAGGATCCCTTTGGTGTCTCCCAGGCTAGAGCTTTCTCCAGGGAGAATGAAACAGATAGCAGAATCTGTGGTGGGGGGAGGATTGTGTTAGATCCTTCCCATGAGCTGGGTTAGTACAACTAAAACCAAACCAAATGAACTGTGTCACTCTTAGACTTCCTTTTGTCCTTTTCTTACTGGCCCAATTTCTCTTGTTTCCTTCCAACTGCAGGGGCTCCAGACCCTCCTCCATGCCATGAATGGAATGTGCACCTCAGGAAACTAATTGCTTGAATCAGTGCGCGTCTGTTCGCCTCACTGAAGAGAGAGTATATGGCTTTTATCAGGGTCGCCACAGAGTAGATCTGTAATCACCCCATCCCCACCCTTCAGGTTAGAAACATGGCCCTGTTTCACACTACTCTACTGAAAACAGAGCAAGGGTGCATCGCTGTGGCAGAGTACGCTTAGAGGAGGGTGAAAAGGCTGCCTCCCTTTTTCCAGTTCAACTTCCGCTTGCCTGAGTGTTCCCCACCCCCACCCCCACCCCCTCATCCCCACCCTCCCACTCCCTTCTCATGGCAGACCTCAAACTCAGTGTGTAGCATCCTGATCTTTTTACTCCATCTGAGTGCCGAGGTCACAGGTGTGCACTATGCCCAGATGAACCCTCTCTTGAGACTCCACTAAACAAGGGCTCTCCAGACAGTTAGCAAAAGATGTGATGGGCCCAGAGGAGGATGAGAACAATCTTGCTCAATCCCTGGGGCTTCCTGGTGGAGGCCAACAGTCCCTAAACAAAAGTCCTGGAGATGAGGACTCTGTCCCTCGGATGATGCAGGGCTAGGTGTCCTCGAGAGCCTCCATGAAATCAGGAGGAACCCAAATGACTTCCGGGGCATCTCCTTTGCAGTCAGTGGTCTGATGTGGGTCCCTGGAGACACCACCATTTGTGTGGGACAATTGCAACATTCCCAGGAGTAGAGCATGGGACCTTTGTGGGACTGAGCCAATTCCAAAGTGGGTCTGATCTAAGGACTCTGCAGGAATGGGAACTCAAAGTTTGAGGACCTATAATTCATACTTGTAAATCTAGTGAGTGCCTGCAGGAGATGGCTTAGTAGATGATGTGCCGGATGCCAAGCCTGGTGACTTGAGCTTGATCCCTAGGACCTACATAGCTAAAAGAGAACCAACCCCCCCCAAGTAGTCCTTTGACCTCTACACATGGGCATCCTTGAACATGAGCACGCACGTGCGCGCGTGCACGCGCGCGCGCGTGCACACACACACACACACAGAGAACAAAAAAAGTGAGTAATACTTTAATTTTTCTCCCTTTTCTGTGTATTGTGTGGGGGGGTGTACATACTCAAATATGTGTAGGCACACATCATGCATGGGTGCCTGTGCATATGTGTGTCTGCAAATGTGGACGTCTAAAGTTGAGACAGGTAGCTTCCTTGCTGACTCTCATCTCATTTTGCTGAAGCAGAGTCTCTGGCTGAACTTGGAGCTTGCCAACTTGGCTGGTGTAGACAGCCAGCTTGCCCAGGGGATTCCCTGTTGTCACTTCCTTCACCCTGGGATTATGGACAGGCCGCCATGCCCACCGGACATGTTCGTGAGTATTGTGATCTGAGTTCTGGTCCTCATGCT